GTTGCCATGGAGATAAACCAACTCTAAGTAGGTACATGTTCAGAATTACTGAAATATATACTGAAAGAGTCTGTGTCACATGATCTTTTTGTTGGTATCTACTTAAAGAATATATGTATGAAAAAAAAGAATATATGTATGTAGGTAGGTATGTATTTATGTATGTATATGTGTGTGTATCAAAAATAACACCAAAACATAAGTCTGTAAAAAGAATAAAAGAATAATATTTTATGAAAATGCAAAATGTTGAAATGATTTATTCTTATGTCTTATACACTATATGTACAAAATGTTTATTGACTCAGTGTAAGAAAAGAAGTTTTAAAAATACAAAGGGGAAAGATTAAAGTTTTTTCAAAAAATATAGTCATCATTTTTATTATTCCTTTTCTTCTCGTTTCTAAGTCTGATTGACACTGGCTCAGTATTTAAAAAGAATAATAACTTCATTGGACAATATTTAAACAAAAAATAAGAAAAATGAGAAACCTTTTGTGGATTAGCACACCATCCAGCAAGAACCTCCATCATGACTCAAATGACCCTGTCTTCTTTTTTGTTTTGTCTTTGCTTTTCTTAATATATAATTAGATACGTATTGCTGAAACTGGAATTTCAGAGTGTCTTAAATTTTCTCATTTTCCAACTTGTTTTTCAGTTAGTATATTAATTATAAAGCTTGGAGCTTATCCTATATTTTCCTTCTCACAAGTGAAATACTCCAAAGGAGAATAAAGAATAATGGAATGCAGCTCACCATTTTTTATAACTCTGTTTATATTCAATTATACAAACTTATAGTTCCCTTCTTATTTTGTTTCTCTAGAATGTAATTAGAGAAACACCACTTTTTGAACACAAAAAAAGCTCTGTTCTCCAAGCCACCATGAAAACAAATACCAAAGCCAACAAAACCTCGTCCTTTCAATTCTCCAGACCTTACAATAAAATCCCCTTGCTATGCTCAACATTGAAATGGGCTTTTCCAGTTAATTCGTGTCCTAATATGTGCCTAGGTCCTCTGCATATTGATCTTTGCCATTTCATTTAGTTCACAAATACCATAGGACAAGGAGGTAGATTATATAAGAACTCCAAGAAGATTTAAACCTAAAAGGAAAATCAGAGAATAGAATTGTTGGGAAGAGGATAAGAAAGCACAATTATGTCAGTAAAGATACTTTCAACACAAAGGAAAGTTTTTGACAAATAATGACATTTGTCAAAATTCCCACTAAACTTTTAAAATATTTTCCTTTCCAATTCATAGAGTTGGCTGTGAATCATTTTGTAGATTTAGGAATAAAAAGAAATTTGTCTAATATATAAGAAACTTAGAGATCTTTGAGATGTACATGGGACTAAAGATTCTCAGAAATTGTTTCCCAGAGGACCTGCTTACATGTGACCATGTGCCTTTCTAAATCACCAATAGTCAACTTTATTGAACCACTTGAGACAGAAGTACATTCCTTTGTTACTTATCAGAATTTTATTAGTGTATCCTTCGATACACTGTAATATTCTCCCTATTTACCTCACACAGCTGCATCCCTCAAACTTAAGGAAGTGTGTTTGTTCAGATTTCTTAGTTCTGTAGCAAAGGCAAGTAAAAATCAAGGGACGCTCAATCATCTGTTAAACTGTCAGTCTCTCATAACTTGAATATTGATTTCACGGGAGGCCGTGGCATTCCCTAGGTGAGCATGTCAAGCTCTTGACAGGAAGATCTTTGCTTAATTGAATTGAGGGGTGTCAGTGATGTATGTTTTGTCACCCACTGTGTACTCAGGAGAAGGTGATGATATTCCTTCATGTGCTGGCCAAACTCTCTGTACATGTCTTATTACCTCAGCATTTTTTTTCTCATAAAGACCTGGGAGCAATGCATTTAGCCATCCAAGAGATGATTATGCATTAAAAACTTGAAGCATGAAATATCAGATGGGGATAGTCATAAATGATTTGACACATGAGCAATAATTTTAATTTGGTCACTAAGCTTGCAGGGTAGCTTTACTCGTCTGTAATATGGGAGTAATGATCATCCTTCCTGCCATTAACTACTTCTCAGCAGTGTTGTAAAGATTAATTTATGTTTCAAAATGGCTTTTCAAATGAAAAGTGCAATGTAAATGTTGGTTTCTAAAGCAAAGCCCTTGCCGGCGAGTGCTGGCTTTGTCTCTGATTAACATTTAAAATGCTGTATGAGAAATTCAATTTTGTTTGGCCAATATCAAAGAAATATTTTTAGCCATCTTAGAGGGAAAATGAAATACAGTTCTCAATGCTTTAACACAAATAAAACAAGAAAAGATTATCTCCATTAATTTAACAAATATATTATCTAAATCACCACTTTGTCGTTTATAGGTTCCCGGTGGGAAGAAAAAAACTCCACTGGCTTTCAACCTAACAAATTGTGTTGTATTGCATCAGTAAGTTACACAAATTAGCCTGAAACCACTTCAACTTAATGTATGTAAAAATATTCCAAGGTAACATTTTGTAGTCTGAGTTCTCGACTTTTCATTTTGTTCAGATATGCATTTAAATGATTGGTCACTAAGGTCTCGGGCTATTTCCTCACTGCCAAAATTATAGTGCACAGATCCACATAAATATGAATAAGAACAGAAGAAGCAGTTTTTTTTTTATGTGTTTGAAAGTTACTAAGCATTAACACTGCCATGCTGTTAAGTTACAAACCAGAAGTTGTGAGGGGGCAACATTCATGTTTTCTGTTTTCCAGTACCTTCTCCAGTGACGGTGGATATGGGTTGTAGTAACTGCTGTCTTTGCTAGTTTTGATTATGTGCAAATGTCTCTTCTAGTTTTTCTCATGCCTCTCTGTCAGTTCACTCCTCTCCAATATTTTAAAATAGATTCTTCTCCAATGAGTGTGTTCTAAACACTTTATAATGCATTTAAAGTGTACCTTTCACAACACACCAAGAACTGATCCACTTACAAGAGTAAAATGTTGAACTCCATACCAAACTAAATGAACTTTAGCTCTTTTTTTTCACACACATCTTGAATCAGAGTGTAGTTTGTACTGGTGACTGATAACATTGGTAGTCTGTCAAACCGTCACCTTACAAAAACCATAACAAATTATGTTAGAAACTTTCCATTTATTTCTGGAACTAGCGTTTCATGTGTTTGAATCCTGAACTAAACACTGAAAGAGAAGAGCAGATGATCAGTCCCTGAACCCAGCAGCTCATGGTCTACCAGCACAGAACTGATAATGAGACAACACAGTAAGAGCTCGTCTTGAAAAGGCAAGAACACCAGTAGCTTTGTGTGCCATTTAGACTGTCATCTGAGAAGTCTTTCCCATAAAAAAAGAATTGCAATGTTTAATTCTGAATATCAGAAAAAAGAACATGAATTGAAGGGACAGGTGAAAATATGGTTGAATGCAGAAGGCATTGCAAATACAGAAAAGAATCTGTGCCCTATTCCCCACATCTAATCAGTTCCAAAATAATGAACCATAAAGTCAATTTCTTTAAGCAGCACAATGTTCTCAACATTTTCAGTTCCCACTGACACCTACTTTCTGCCTTTGTATCCTCATTACTGTATAAACCACAAACATGAACATATACTCGATGTTGTTCTAATTTCCCCCTCTCAAAAGTTTCCAAGGTTTCTGTTCTGCTTTACTTCCATCTGACATTTTTATTTTCATCCTAAAATGTTGTACTCCTTACAGAAGAATGTTTGGTAGTCATTCAATCTTCAATCTTCTATGGGTTTATTTGCCTGTTTGTTTTTATTATCAGAGGCTCAAAGATTTCTCCTGAGAATATTAGACAAGAAAGAATGAGAAGAGATGTTAAATGTCTCTCCTTAGTTTTTTTTTTCTTTTTCAAATCGAAAAGGTATAATTTATGTGCTTGGAATCTTGAAAGTCTTAATTCTGATTTGATATATGCTTTCCAGTTTCAATTATTTTTAACAAATAAGAAGAAAAATATTTTTATGTTAACAAAATCTTTAACCTTGATTTTAATATATTCTTGCTTTGATAAACATGAGAACAAACTCTAAGCCTCATAATATCAGCCTAAATATCAATCAATTAATCAATAGACAATAAAGATGTACTACAAATACACAATAAAATTATACATATACATAAATATTATTAAGCTATAAAATTAAATTTACAAATTACCTGATGGAATTAGAAAAATATATATTCAACCTCAGTCAGTACATTTTAAGCCAGCTTTTACTTTTTTATTTAATACATTTAATTATAAGACCTAAAGAATCCACAAAAAGTAGAATGATGACTTGGGGCTTGCTGTAAGGAATAGAGAAATAGCAAAATAAAATTCAGGTGAATGTAGAAAATGGAAATTATGGTAGTGGGAAAGTTCAAGTGGGAATGGTGGTGGGGAAACCTAAGAAATAAGGTGATCAGAACAGAGTAATAGCCAAAACCATCTATAAAAAGGATATATGGAAATTATAGTAGTCTAAATGAGAAATACCATTATTGGTTCAAGTATTTAAATACATGGTGGCTAGTGTGCAGAAAAATGTGGGGGAGATGCGGAACCTTTATGGAAGCCTTGCTGGAAGAAGTATGCTACTGGGGCAGGCTTTGTGTACCTATAGCTTTGTGTATTTACAACATTTCATCCTGTTTGGAAAATCAGGTTCCTATGTGGAGATCTCTCAGTTTCCTCCTCCTGCATGAATTCCCTGTCATTACAAACTCTAGGCCTCTGGAAACATAAGTAAAGATAAACTTGCCTTTAAGTTGCTTTTAATCGTGGTGTTTTATCACAGCAGTAGAGATTCAACTAATGCAGAGAATTACTGCTTTGTAAGTGTAAACCGCCTTCGCGGATCACTGAGTCTAGGAATTGTAACCCGCCTGGCAGTTAGTAATTCCAGGGTCCCGGAGAGGCGCTATCTGAAAGACATAGGCAGAGAGAAGAAGGCCAGGCACATTTGTTGAAGCCTCTGTTTATTTGAGTATGGTTACAGCTTAAATAGGATGAGGAATTTGGCGGGGGGAAGGGGGACGGGCAGGGGCATGGTCTCTTGCCGCGTGGTCCATGTCGGTCACGTAGGCCAGGAGGTTACGAATAGGTCAGGTCACGATTCCTCGGCCAGGAGACACTTTCTTATGAGTATGAGATTCCCCATATGTTTAGCAAAGTAATTTTAGGGGTTTATGAAGACCTTTCAGGGTGTCTTGGTCCATCAAATCACATTAGTCTGGAAAAAACCCACAGGGTCTCATCCTCTGTAGAAACAAAAGTAGAACTGCTTTTCTAAAGAAACATATCCTTAGACAAGATGCCTTTTTAATATATATTTTGGTTTAGCTCAGCAGCCTATACAATGAAATGTCTCTCTGTACTTAGCTCATTCACAGTCAAAAAATTCAAAGAAAACACAATAATATACATAATCCAGACTTCCTGACCATATTCCATCTTTGCATGGCTTGCTTTTCTTTACTCCTTTAATCTATGACCATCTGTACTCTGTGTGTCTTTAAAGGCTTTCTTTAATTTTTTTCTATGTTCTTTTTCTTGTCTCTCTATAGCCTATGTAGATTTATCCACCACTGTGACCCATTTAGCAATTTTTTTCCATCTGGATTTGTCTTTATTGCATGCATATCTGTAATCTTTTCTGACCAGGAGCACTTCTTAAAATGGTATGCAGTGTAGTTGCGGCAGCCCTGGATGATGGCTAGGCATCTCTCATACTTTCAATGTAGTGAGCATACCTTACTGACAGTTTTGGGACCACCGTGTAGGAACCATGCTCACCACCTCAACTCTGAGCAGCCCTGAGCAGCAATATAAACCCTTTTTAAGGGCAGGGAACCCTGATTGCTCTTTGGGCTGACGAGGGAGGGGGCTTGGTTGGGGGAGGGGGAGGGAAAGGGGAGGCGGCGGTGGGGAAGAGACAGAAATCTTTAATAAATAAATAAATAAAAAAAGAATAAACCAGGAAAAAAAAATTAGCTTATTTGGGTAGAAGATTGCAGGTCTTTTACCTGTTTTGATTAGCCACTTCCCCCATCTTTTAAAGGAACATTTTGTCTTTTCTAAATTCTGTATGTTAGTATTTCACTTTTTTAGTAACATGAGCCTTTGCATTGTGTATTTCAGAGTTTCGTCCAGCTATTTCTTTCAGTTACAGAAACTCATCACCTGACTTGCGCACTAGATTACAGTCCGTCAAGAGACAGTCTTATGTATGTTGTGTTTACCAGCGTGTGATTCCTCAGTATCACCAACCAGCTCTCAAATCGTGACACAGACACTTAATATTAGTTATAAATGCTCAGCCTTATCTAAGTCTTATTTTAATCTGTTTCTCTTTATCTACATTTTGCCTTGGGGCTTTTTACCTTTGTTTTTGTACGTCTTACTTTCACTGCTTCTTGTGTATGTCTGGCAACTGCCTGGCTTCTAGCCCTGGGCGTGTCCCTCTCTCCCTCCTTTTCTTCTTCTCTCCTTCGTTATCCTCCTGTTCATTCTCTCCGGTCACCAGTTCCTCCATCCCTCTCCTGCCTTGCTATTTGCTGTTCAGTTTTTGATTAGACCAATCAGGTGCCGTAGGCAGGCAAGGTAAATATGCAGTACATTTTTACACAGTTAAACAAATGCAGCGCAAACAAATGTAACACACCTTCACATCAAGTAAACCAGCATAAACAAGTGTACCACATCTTCGCCCAGTTAAAATAATATTCCACAACAATCTGGTACCTCTCAGACTTAGTCTAATCATGACCTCTCTGATGTGGGAGTGTCATATATCAATCTGTTGATTTCATTGGTTAAGTAATAAAGAAACTGCTTGGCTGGCCCTCATAGGTTAAAACATAGGTGGGAGGAGTAAACAGAACAGAATGCTGGGAGGAAGAGGAAGTGAGCTCAGAGNGGGAGGCACACGCCTTTAATCCCAGCACTAGGGAGGTAGAGACAGTAATAAAAGGTGAATCTCCTCAATTCAGTCTGAAGATTCATAGAGACAGGATCCCGGCCATTTGGTCTGAAGTTTCCAGTGGCTGGCCGCTCTTCTTTTCTGATCTGTCAGCTTTTGCCCTTAATATCTGGGTTTCTATTGTTAAGACTAAACAGATTCACACTTCACCCTGCCCCTGAGCTACAAAAGCATTTTCTTCACATCCAGTGCTGAACTCTCAAACCCAGGCTTAGGGGGAGGCTGCCCATGTACATGAATAAAAAAGTGTCCTTAAAAAAAAAAAAAAAAACCTTCAATCTGATATGCTGCACATTGCATGGTCCGGAAATATCTCTGTACGTAGCAACAGGAATACACCATGCTCCCATTGCCTGCCCAGATGGGGAGCACTGAGCTGTGGGCATTGTCTTAGCTACTTTCCTCCCAACCGCAAGGGGCTTGCCACTCAGATTAGTCCCAGTTGTTTGGGTGTCAATCTGTAGTTAGAGGCTGCTCATTTGTTTTCAGCCACTCATACCAGAAATAAACACACAGAAACTGTATTAATAAAAGCATTGCCTGACCAATCACCTAAGTGTATTGCTAGCTGGCTATTGTATCTTAAACTAACCAATTTCTATTCATCTGTATATCACCACATGGTTGTGGCCTACCAGTAAGATTTTGTTCAGCATACAGCATCTGTATCCAAAGGTGGCTACTTGGTTTCTCTTCCTGACTCCACCTACTGTCTCCTTCTCTATCTGCTTGGCATTTCCACCTTGCCCTATTCTGCACTGCCATAGGCCCTGGCTGATTTTTTTATTAACCAATGGTATTCAGAGCATACAAATGGAAATCCCCACATCACCCTAAGGATCTCAAACTAGAGAGCCTATCATCATTTCTTTTGATTAAGAAAATATTACTGATGTTCACCTTACTAGACCTGGAAGGAGGTGGGAAGTCCTTGGACTCCCCACAGGGCAGGGAACCGGGTCTGCTCTTCGGGCTGATGAGAGAGGGGGAGTTGATTGGGGGAGGGGGAGTGATATGGGAGGCAGTGGCAGGGAAAAAAAATTTAAAAAAGAAATTATTATTGAAAACACCACACTCCTACCTTGAAAGATACAAAGAAAGTAAATCTGAACTTAGCTGGAAGTTCTGCCTTGACAGCCAGTCTTCATAGTTCCAGAAGTGTCTATGCACCTTGCTGGGGGAGAAATGATACCAATGGGTCTTACATAGCTGTGAACTCCACTAACCACCATGTCAAACTTACAGGCATGATGTGTCAACTGGTACAATAGTGGAATAACTATTACTGGATAAGCATCCACTCCTGAGTCAGGTCTGATATGATCTCTACAGGAAAGAACACATGCCTGGTCCTCTACACTCAATCAAAGATCCATGTTGAAGAGGTAATAGATTCTACCAGGAACCTTCCTACTGTAGGTGAGCTAAATTTATATGACAAAAATCTGAATATTCACATTTATATTCATAGATAAATGCTACTTATATCATTAATTGTTGAAGCTTTCCTTTGAAATGAACAGAAATGAATGCAGAAACTCCAGGCAGCTCAAGATGTTTATATTAAATAATATTGGAGTATACTTCCCTAAACAGATCATTTATACCACCTCTCTAAATCTCAGAGAACATCGCAGAATAGGAATCAGATAGGAAGTTAGAAACAGAAGTTAGAGAGAAAGGATGTGAATTATTATCTTTGGGGTATAACATAGTTATTCCACACATCCAGTTCAGTACCTGCGGCTCCCTGAACTGGATCTGTACAATATCAAATCTTTCAAAATGAACTATGAATAGGAAGAGACTTATGGGACACTATTCACTGCTGAACTGTTACCAACTGATAGATTCAGAGAGAGAGACAGACAGACATTTACCATCTTTAATACAGCACTGAGGAGGTAGAAACAGAGGGGGTCTGAAGTTCAAAATGCATCTAATTACAGCACAAATTATGTTGAGTCTGGTTTTAATTTAGATAGCAATTTAATATACCACATTTATTTAATTTAATCTGCCAGTTATCTGCTAAAAACAGGCTTCTTGTATGGTGACTTCTCAACTTTCTCTTAAATATAATATTTAGACTTTACACTTCTTTAATTTAGAAAGCAGACATCTTAATGATTTAATAAAATGCCTAAAGTGTTTATATAATAATTTCCTACTTTCATTTCTTAATTGTTCTTAAATAAATAAGAATTATTTTACATATGCAGGTATCTATAGAGACATACTATTTTCCAGAATGTTTATTCTACCGTCTAACTTCATTTTCTGGAAGTAGAGGAGAATAGCACAGACCACTTATATTATAAGCAATAGAAGTTATTATGTTTGTAGTTTCAGAGACTGGGGATTCTAAGAAAAAGAGGCCACATATGGTGAAGGACTTCATGTTTCACTACAGCATTGTGGAAATACAAGTGTGCACACAAAAGAGAGATGGCAGCAGCAAGCCACATGAGAAAGTCTATTGTGATCAAGGTACTGCCACAATAGCTAAACCATTCTCAATTATAGTTCACACCTGATCCTCCCTAAGATCCACTCCTTCATATCTTCAAAGGGCAATACGAAACGCTCTCAGACATTCCTTGTTAAAATTAATGGCTCTCTACCCACAGCAAAAAAGCATGAATGCAAAGAGGAAACGAGTCAGTGGGAAGGGATAAAAAAGAAGGAAGAAAAATAAAAGTTGGAGGTAAACCTGAACACAATGCACTATATAAATGAATGCAATTGTTAAAAAAAATAAATTTAATTAATTAAAATCATTCCTTGCCTTTGCTAGGCTACTTTAATTGCTTATTAGTTGAAAGGGGAAAAAAGTTAAAAGTTTCCAATCATGCTCTAGTGGAGAATCATCTACCAATTTGAAATATGCATGAGAAAGGAGTGTATTTTGTGTCGAGCCATTTTATTGAGAGTTTGCTTTAATTTGCAGCTACTTAAACAGTTAGTATTTTTATTTATCTCCCCCTTAGTCTTATTGATCATGTTAGATCAGGGGTTCTCAATCTTTGGATCACTGTGGTCTTTAGACCCTTTAATAAGGGTATACTAAAAACATCAGAAAACACAGATATTTATATTACGATTCATAACAAAAGTAAAATTACATTTATGAAATATGAACATAAAATAATTTTATGGTTGACGGGGTCAGCACAACATGAGGAACAGTATTAAAGAGTCACAGCATTGGGAAGGTTGAGAACCACTGAATCTATTTATCTCCTTCATTATTTCTTGCTAGAACTGAATCTTTGGGAA